CAGGACATTCCACATTGTCTTGTATCCTATATTTTATGAGCAAGGGACTAGGACTATTCCAAAGGTATCCGTAAGTGAATGCCCAATTTGGATATGAAACCTAAAAGTTTAATAAGTAAAAATATTTAGAGTCTACTTAAGGCCTTTTAAATCTGGAATTCAGAACTCTTTGTAATTAAAAAAAAACCTGAAAACCTAATTACATGAAGTCAAGATGTTAAAATACAGAAAAAGTTAATTTTGTTCATTTAAAAATATTATTTATTCGGCCGGGCGTGGTGGCTCACACCTATAATGCCAGCACTTTGGGAGGCTGAGGTGGGCTGATCACTTGAGGTCAGATGCTTGAGACCAGCCTGGGCAGCATGATGAAACCTGTCTCCACTAAAAATACAAAAATTAGCTGGGCGTGGTGCTGCACGCCTGTAATCCCAGCTACTTGGGAGGCTGAGGCAGGAGAATCGCTTGAACCTGGGAGACAGAGCTTGCAGTGAGCCGAGATCATGCCATTGCACTCCAGCCTGGGTGACAGCAAGACTGCATCTCAAAAAAAAAAAAAAAAAATTTATTTCTTTTCTTTCTACATTTCTTTAGAGAAACAGGGTAAGGGCCAAAGAAGAGCACAACTGAAGTATGTAACCAGATTCAGAACCCCTGCAACACAAAGACAGATTAACAGTTACTAAACCTCGTGGTACACACATTGGGGAACACACAGTTCCTGCTCTAGCACACAGGGGTTGGCAAACCTTTCCTTTTCTCTACAGGGCCAGATCTGCCACTGTAGCATAGAAGCATACATAACATGTAAATGAATGGGGGCGACCTTAATTGGCTCACAGGCCTTAGTTTGTGACCTATGATTTAGAAGTACAGGTCTTTAGAGAATTGATGATAAGGATAGCATGGGATCCTGTAATAAGACAACCTAACCTGGTTTTGAGGAAGTGACTTTAAATAAAGACCTTAAGAGTAAGGAGGAATTAGTTCAGCAGAGGAGCTGGCTTCTTTGGAGATGGTTTGGGGAGTGATGTCGGAGATGTGCGCTTCTAGCACAATACGTGCACTGTGGCATGTACAGAGAAGGCCCGGGAGAGGAAGAACGGTTCATAAGAGTTGGAGGAGAAGTCATAAGGATCTAGGTGCTGGGAAGCCATTGCTGGGTTTTAAACGTAGAATTGAAATTAATTTACTTGCTAATCCAACAAACACTTATTATTTTCTGAGATGGAGTCCTACTCTGTCACCCAGACTGGAGTGCAGTGGTGTGATTACATCTCACTGCAGCCTCCACCTCCTGGTCTCAAGCCATAATCTCACCTGAGCCTCCCAAGTAGCTAGAACAAATACATATATATATATATATATATATTCGAGACAGAGTCTCGCTTCATCACCCAGGCTGGAGTGTAGTGGCGTGATCTCGGCTCACCGCAACCTCTGACTCCTGGGTTCAAGCAATTCTCTTGCCTCGGCCTCCCAAACAGCTGGGATTACAGGTACCCACCACCATGTCCAGCTAATTTTTTCTTTGTATTTTTAACAGAGATGGGGTTTCACCATGTTGGCCAGCCTGGTCTCGAGTTCCTGACCTCAGGTGATCCGCCCACCTCGGCCTCCCAAAGTGTTGGGATTATAGGCATGAGCCACCATGCCTGGCATAAATATGTATTTAATGAGAGCCTACCACATGCCAGGCACATACAAGACAAGGTCCATGCCCCTAGGATGCCCATATTCTGGTGCAGGAGACACACTGGCAACAAATAAAATAAACCTTGCTCTAAGAGCTAAGAAGGAAATACATATTTTCATCTCATCTAAAGTGAGTTTACTTAGGCTGAGATGTCAACAGATAGAATATGACCTGTAGAACCAGGGGGAGAGATTCCAGTAGAGAAAGTGGGCAAGAATATGGTATATAATAGGTGATGTCCTAAGGCTGATGGCACTAGAGCATGGTGAAGGCAGCGGTCTATGAGAGGTATCCTCAAGCAGGGCGTAAAGGCCATGGAAAGTCACTGGAGAGTTTTAAGTAGGGAAATGACATGATCTGCTCTAATTCTGTTACATGTAAAATGAACTGGAGGAAGATCTGAGTGGAAACCAGGGAAAACTGAGGATATCGTTGTGGTAGCCCAAGCAAAAGATGGTGCTGGCTTGGAATAGGGTGGTAGCAGTGAAGATGGAGAAGAGAAGACAGACTACAAAAACATTCTAGAAGTGGAAGTGACAGGACTTACTAAAAGACTGGGAAAGAGGAGTAGTAAAGGAGAAGAACAAAGATGATTCTCATAGGTCTATCTTCGGTAACCCTGTGGATAGGAGTACCACTCAGTAAAATGGGAGGATAAGGTTTGGAATGATAAGAAAACCAAAACTTTCTTTTGGTTATGTTAGCTTTGGGGTGCCCAAGAAATATCCAAATGGAGATAATTAAACAGGCATTTTTGACGTGTGATTCTGGAACACAGAGGAGAAGGCTGGACTAGAGATTTAAACTTTGGAGTTGCCAACTTTCAGGTGGTAATTAAAGCCATGGGGCTGGGTCACCTAAAGGGAAGCATGTAGAGGGCCCAGGATTCCTGTGAGAATTCCAACATATATATACACACATATATTTTGAGATGGAGTCTTGTTTTGTTGCCCATGCTGGAGTGCAGTGGCACAATCTCTGCTCACTGCAAACCTCTGCCTCCTGGGTTCAAGTGATTCTCCTGCCTCAGCCTTCCAAGTAGCTGGGATTACAGGCATGTCGCCATGCCCAGCTAGTTTTTGTATTTTTAGTAGAGATGGGGTTTTACCATGTTTGCCAGGCTGGTCTTGAACTCCTGACCTCAAGTGATCCGCCCGCCTCGACCTCCCAAAGTGCTGGGATTACAGGCGTGAGCCACCGTGACCAGCTCCAACATTTAGACATCAGATAGAGAGCAAAGGTGGCTAGCAAATGAGACTCAGAAGGAACAGCCAGAGAAATAGAGAAAATCCAAGAATGAAATGTCAATAAAGCCAAGATGAAAGTCTGGAGACAGGAGTAACTACCTTGAATATTGCAGAGACAGAGAAAGATGAGAACAAAGTATCCATTGGATTTGGCAACATAGAAGTCACTGGTGACCTAGATAAGGGCAACTTCAATGGAGTGGGCAAAGTAGATGCGGTGGCACTCGATTACTAGAAGCTACCTTAGGAGGATTGCTTGAGCTCCGGAGTTCCAGGTGGCAGTGAGCTATGATGGGGCCACTGCACTCCAATCTGGGCAACAGAGCAAGACAATGTCCCGGGGAAAAAAAAAAAAAAAAAAAAAATAAAGACACAGAAAAATTAAAAATAAAAAAATAAGAGACATGCAAAGCAAACAAAAAAAAAAAGGAGTGGGCAGAAGAGAAGCCAGATTGATATGAAATGAAGATTGAATAAAGGGTAAGAAAGCTGAGTTGATACAGGTAGAAATCTATGAATGGAAATTTTAAAAATTGGCATGGTAGTTGGAGAGGGATGTGAAGGATACCAGAACATAATTTGTATGCTGATGGGAACAGTTTCATGGAGAGACAGGATTTGGTGCTGATTTTATTGGGAAATAGTGGAGAGGAAGGAAGGCAAGGATTATAGGCAGGATTGACGGTAGTGCCATTAAGATCAAGAAAATAGAAGCAGGGCAAACGTATTTGCCTACAAACATCATGTTTCCACCACTCTAGGTAGGCTTTCAGAGGAAGAACTGTAAAATTCCACTAAGCTTCTCCAGACTGCACCAATTTCTGATGTAATTAATCTCCTGATGAAGTTAAAACCTCTTAAGAGTCGCAAGGCTATGCTAATCCAATCTAGCAGCCACACAAGCCAAGTGAATAAAAATGTACTTGTACTAGTGAAACGGACATTACTCATGAAAAAGGGCTCTAAATTCACAGCTGATGGAAGAGCAGTCATGCTTCTGTAATCAAAACACTGAAGACTTACTAACTGGTATCTTTCAGATAAACAGTGGAACCAGACATTTTTCCGAAGAAATTAATCAAATTCAACATTGTTCACATTCCCTAATGCTCATTAATGATGTAGCTTCATACACCCTTGTTACTTCTGATACAGTGAATTTCCATGGAAGTATTTCCAGAGATCTTAGGCCTGTGAAATAAGTATCAGTTCTTGCAACAACCCAGGAAAATTAACTTCTCCAGCTGGTTCAAACGAGTGCCTGAGGAGAAAGGCAGAAACTAGAAGACGAGTTTTGACTTAATAACTCATTTTGATGTTCATGATAGGCCTCTGGCAAACGTTTGAGGAAATGAATCTACGGAGAATGGACGGGTTTTAGGTACTTCTACAACACCTTCGATCTTTAGAAAGAGATGAAGGATGCAACTATCTACAAAAAGTTCTATTTGTATTATTCAGCAACATGTAAAGAGCTGGAATTTGGCATCGCCCTCTAGCCTGATGACCGAGCTGCTGAAAGCTCCATAGGATTCATAACCTCAGAACAAACAACTCGATCACCTGATCCTGGTTCAGAAGCCCCAGGTCCCTTCTATCCCCAATCCTTTCGCGTGGCCCAGTTTTAAAAATCTGCGGAGAGAAGGACTGATGCCAGGAAGCCTGTTGATTCAACATGCCACCCAATTCACGGGTTCCGGGTGTTACCGGGCTGGGAAAAGCTTTGAGACTCTGAGCAACTGCAGCGCTTTCCTCCCCCTTCCCCCCATAGAGCAGGGAAGGCCAGGCCCCCACTTCTTCCCACATACGGCTCCCCATTGCCTCTTCCCTTACGGGACCAGGCCCTAGGAGCCCGGTTCCCCACCTGACTCCTGCGAGAAACACGCTCCCCAGTCGGAACTTTACTTGCCTGAAGTCCGCCGCTCCTCCGGTGCGCTAAGCCCCCACCGAGGAAAAATGGAGTCGTCGAACCGAGACTGGGAAAAGATACTACGGACCCACCGCACTGCCCCTCCGCCGCCGCCGCCGCCGCTGCGTCAACGTGCTACGTCATTTCCGGCTCTCTGTCACCGGGAGTGGGTGGGCCATTTCTTGTTCTCTCTCCCGCTCTCGGGAGCTTTCGTCCCGTGGGTGCGAACGGTAACCGAAGCGGCTCAGGAAGGCAGCTGTTACTGAGCCCCTGGAACAGAGCGAGAGTATCGTAAGTAACCAGGCTCAGCCTGTTTCTCAGGCCGCTCTAGCCAGGTAAACCATAAAGATCAGACTCGGGCTCCTTCACTTCCTTGTCTCCGTGGTATCGTCTTCAGCTTCCGGTTCCGGGGAGGGGCCGCGTTTTCTTCGAAGATTTGGGGCTCCGCGATACTGCTAGGATGGCTGTAGTACCTCTACTGTTATTGGGGTGTTTGTGGAGCGCTGTGGGTGCGTCCAGCCTGGCTGTCGTTACTTGCGGCTCCGTGGTAAAGCTACTCAATACGCGCCACAACGTCCGACTGCACTCACACGACGTGCGCTATGGGTCAGGTAATGCTGGGGATCGGGCTCGGGTGGGCTAGGGAGGCCTGGGAGTATCTGGAGGGGCGGGGCCTAAAGAAAATCTGAGGGTGTGGTCTGGGAAGGTTAGGTGTTCCCTGGGAAGGTTCCTCAGGTCTGGAGAGTCGGAGAACTGAGTTGTTCTAAGGCATCTTAATCGCAACACCACCTAATATTTGGTGAACTACAGGCCAGGCACGTTACCTATGTACTTTTTCCGCTTATTAACATTCATGTAAGGTGATACTATTGTTATCCTCATTTCACAGATGAGTTAACAGACGCAGAGAAATTAAATCGTTTATTCAAAGCCTTGCAGCTAGCAAATGTCAAAGTCGGGGTTCTATCCAAATCTATCCAGGTTCAAAGCCTGCTTTAGAGACAGACAAGAAAATTACAGGAAGTGCTGTGTCTGAAATTTTAAAGTAACAGTAAGTACTGTATCTGAAACTTTAAACTCCAAGAGCTCACTCGTTGACTACAACCCTTTGTCTTCCAGCTCTTCTGCATCTTACACTTGCTCCTTAATTCCTGTCTTTTGGGCCCCTTCTACCCAAATCTGAACCTCCTTCTTGTAAGGAACTTGGAGCAGTGACAGGAATTGCACAGAAACTTTTTTTTTAAGCATTTGAAATTAAAATGTTTAATAATAAGTTATTTGAATTCATTCATTCAGCATAGGTCTTAATGAGTTCCTACTATATGACTAGAATTGTACTACCTGCAGGAGATTCGGTAGTGATAATCAGTCAAGAAGATTACAATATAATAAAAACAGACCAAAAAAAGAAAGTCTTATCTGCCTGAAAAAAAAAGATAAGCAAACAAAAAAAGAATGAAGGTCAGCTAGTGAGATGTGAGAGGCATCTAAGATAGCTGGTAGAATTCTATCTTGGATGACTGATGATGCTGTTTGCTGAGGGAGGAAAGAGTTCTGTCAGGTGGGCTAGTCTGGTTCATGATTCCCAAAACCTATCTGATCAGTTAGACTAGGCAAGGACGTGAGTTATCATCACTGCGATGTCTTAATAATCCTAGCACCCATTCAGTGAACACCTAACATGTTGTCAGGCTTATTTTTTAATTTGCTTTGGTTTCCAACTTTGGATCTACTGAATTAGAGTGGAGGTGGACAGAGGCTTGGCAGTAGCAATCTGTAGGTTTAAAAAGCTCTTCAGGTGGTTCTGATGGACAGCCAGATTTGGGAACCAGGTTCAGTCTGAAGCTCAGAAAAGGGATCTCTGCTGAGCCTGAGATACCACATTAGATACAACATTAAATACAACATCTTGTACAGACTGTGGTTGAAAATGTCAGGGTAGTGGATGAAATTGCCCAGGATGAACTGTGGTTCTCAATCTGGGATCAATATGAATAACTTGAGAAACTTGTTAAAAATACAAATGCTTTTGTCCTGACCCTCAGCAATTTAAGAACTACAGGTAGAAATATATGAAGGCCAGGCATAGAACTTCGGATAATCCCAAGGTATAAGGATTTGGAGGAGGAAGTGAAGGGTTGAATAGAAAGCAGAAAATGTAGGAGACAAAATGTAGACCATGGTTTAGTAGTGAAGCGTGGCTGTGAGGACCCCAGAGAGCTGTAAGGCAGTAACCAGAAGTAGGAAGGGAGACTTGGTTTGGCTTTTCTGAAAAAGAAAGATATAATAAAGTCATGAGCTGAGTGGAAGGAGACAGTAGAAAGGAGCTGATAGTTGGCTATATTTACCCGTGTAACTGGCACGAGGCATAATGGTATACGTGGTAAAAGTGAAATATCAAAAGTCTTTGGTCAGGCAAGGCCATGGAGCTGAAAGCAAAGCTAGAAGGAACAGGTAAAACTATTAGAGGAAAGTATCTGGGAAATACGAATGCTTTCAAAGACCTGGGTAGTGAATGAAGCCTAGGAAAGAGAGTATCCCCAGTGTTTATGAGAGTAGCTCGTTTGGGGAAACCTGACAATTTAAAGCTTTTGGAATAAATATGATCTTAATGAGATATGATGCAGAATGGTTAAGAGTGTTAGTTCTAGAGTCGGGCTGTCTAGGTTCATTCAGTCCCAGCCTTGTTTCTTAGAGTTGTGTGACCTTGGGTATGCTGGGGATAATAATACTTACTTCAGCAAATGTAGATGTCAAATAAGAATATTCAAACAAAGGACTTAGGTCAGTGCTAGATACCCAGTAAGTCCTCACACACTGTGGTGCTGAGCAGTCTTAGTAACACACATTAGCTATCAGCGATTATTTGTATACTGCACCCCCCCGCCCCAACTTTTTAAATCCTGTAGCTAGATTTTTTCTTTCCTTAAGAGACATGGGAGACCAAGGCAGGAGAATCACTTGAACCAGAGAATTGGAGGTTGCAGTGAGCCGAGATCGCACCACTGCACTCCAGCCTGGTGACAGAACAGACTCTGTCTCAAAAAAAAAGAAAGAAATTAAGAAACAGAGTCTTACTCTGTGGTCCAAGCTGAGGTGCAGTGACACAATCACGACTCATTGCAGCCTTGACCTCCTGGGCCCAAGCAATCCTCACATCTCAGCCTCCTGAGTAGCTGGGACTGCAAGTGCACCCCACCACACCTGATTAATTTTTTGGGTCTTTTGTAGAGATGGAGTTTTGTCAGTTGCCTGAGCTTGGTCTTGAAATCCTGGGCTCAAG